CTGACATCAAACAGGTGCCATTTGGATTCCATGTCTAATGGTTACGGCCGGGGAGGGGTTGATAGTGATCCTAAACAAAAAACCTAAACACAAAGTGAATCCATACTGTTGCACGGTTGCAAGGCAAAAACTAAATTGCAAAAACTAAAAAACTAAATGGTAAAAACTACAGAGAACATCAAGACCAAGAAGTACCTGTAATGAGGGTAAACCACATGGTTATGATGATAGCAGCATAAAACTGGTTGAAACAACACGGATCTGATACGGAGGAAGGAGCCAGAGGAGCTTATGGGGGGGGGCATGATAAGCAATTGAAAGAAATTGAGGACAATGAAGCAGAGGAAACTGTGGAGCATGAAGGTGGCACAGAAACAGGGAACAAACCACAGTAAAACACATGTACATGAGGCACAGGAGACACAAAAAAATCGCAAATCAACCTGAATACATAAGAACAGAGCAGAATAACATAACCAATACACAGAACATAACATCATAGAGGTCCCTCCCCACCTTTCACTGGCAGATGAAAAAACCTTATTGAAAATTAAGTTGACGAAACGGGAGTTATACAGAGGGAAGGACAAGTGGCGTTAAAATTAAGTTAATACAAGTTGTAAAAATGATCAAATCCTGTTTACTTATTTTTCCCGTCAAGGTAAGTCAGAGCAATACAAATTTCTTGAGGGGAGATTTCAAAGTCAAGTTATTTAGGTAACATTGTCTTCACCAAAAAGACAGAACTATAAGCTGATTCACTCTAAAAGCAAGAACAAGCACTTTTTCATTTTTGACCAAACTAGATGACTAGAAGATTTGAAATTATACAAAACCAAAGACATATTTCCAACATTAACATACAGAAATATAAAAGCTTTTTCTGTTGAACAAAAGAGCAACTAACATCTTCACATTTTGGAAATATAGAATCATAGACATTAAGGTGATCAAACTTTAAATTCCTTCATTTTGTTAGGTTCGATTTCCAGCTCTCCCTGATAAATAACTATCACTTTAATTTCATTTTCAATATTTATTTTGTTGATCAGCTAATATAGCTGAATTACTCAGTGTTTGATATTTGTAGATGTGCAGCTGGGGTACAGTGTTTTTCACTGATTCGTTGTTCAAAACAATTACATGTTGCAGAAATTATGTTTAATAAAGAAGTTAATGACGAGCAGAAACAATAGTAGCATGCAAAAGAGATAGCGTAATCTGAAATCCAAAGAGCTCCAAAGAACTAATAGATGCAATTTATGGTAACAGTTGTCTGTGATATTTTTCATACGGCCATTTTAACTATTGTTTACATTTCCACGCACTAAACATATTTCATATTACAAATATTAAAGAGACTGGTTTACAAATTGCCCTTGGGTAGACTAGTGACTTGTCCAGGTTTTACCTGGCCTTTCATCCACAGTCAGTTGGGATGAGCTCCAGCACCCCCACACCCCCACTGGGAATAAGCAATATAGAAAATGGAGGGATGGGTTGATAATGAATGGGTTTACAGCTTTGAAAAATATACTTTCAAACTAAACCAAAAAGTCAAGGATTGCTTAGTTCAGTTACTACAATACTAAAATATTTTTTAAGGCTTGCATTTTATAGAGTAACCCATTATCAATTTCTACAATAAAGGACTGAGGAGGGGTGTCAATAGTATACTCCCCCTTGTCTATGATGATATTTTAGCACTGGCAAAGAGGAGAGGAGTGAAATCGTCCAATGGATGCTTAGAAATGAAATAGTGTGGAGTGGGAGGGCCAATGGCTTGATCCAGCTAATAAAAAAAACAGACCTGTATCCACCATTTTGACTGCAGAAGAAACACAGAAAGCCAGAGCGAACAGCCAGAAAATCGCTGTGGTGTCCAACAGCCAGACACCCCCCTCCCCCAACACATCCACATCCTCCAAGCTTGACACAGGGGAAGAGCTTTGTACTGGGAAGTACAGGCCAAACTTTTGCTTGTATAGACTCAACCCCCCCTTATTTTCATCAAGCACAACACTACAACAGCGCATCCCTGTAGAGATAAATCATATTATATGCTTAACAATCACAGGATAACCAGGCATGCTGCCAGAGGCACTTATATATATGAAAATCTGCATCAGAATGCAAGTTATCTAAATAGTTTTAATATAATAGAAGTTTATGTATCATAGTTTATCTCCAAAAAAGAATTATTCACAGTCTTAAAATACTTTCACCCAAGATCCCTGAACTATCACATTAACATGATATGTAATTCTGGATGTTATAGCAATGAACTCAACAGTTGAGAGATGAAAGTGACTGTTTTTTTTAGACAAGAAATAGCTGAATTCAGTCTTAAATTCTAACCTCCATTCTTCAAACCGTGTTTCCTTTTTCAATATTACTTCTCGGTAATATTGAAGGTTGAATGGACAAAAAGTTAGGTTTTATGTTGTTCAGACACTGCACCGTCGACACTGCTGAATCATTGCTATTCAGAAATGTTTTGTCAAACTGAGTTTTAAGCGAGGGAAATATGAGCGAAAAACCGAATCAGACCTAAATGTCTTTGCCCCCCTTCAGTGTCATGTTTCCTAATCCAGCACTGGTGTCAGGCCGAATGCCGTGGAAACCTCCTCCTGCTCCCACCACGTGACGGTGGGAGTGTGTGGAGGTGCAATTCATTCTCCAGCAATCTGGGCCAACTTCTGGTGCTATAGAGAAAAAAAAATGTAACTTTTTTTTTTTATTACGGCATTTACTTGCAGAGGTGCTGCATGAATCTGAGGACAGTCCCCCAGAGGAGACTGAGGCAGTGCAGGAGGCTGAGCGGGGAACAAAACATTAGGTAAGAACTCACTCAAAAGTATGTACTGTTGTGTTTACAATTTACACCCTTATTACAAATGTTATATTTTAGCAGTCGAGAATTATACTTTTATGACCAAATGAAAAACTGATTTTTTATCAATGTAATACTACTACTACTACTAATACTACTAATAATAATAATATTAATACAACTTTATTATTCAAATAAAAACAACTACTCAGCAAGTTCTAACAAGGCCTAAAGTAAATTATATAGACTTTATTAATTTTTCAGTGAATAGGAACAAATGTATTGTATTGGTTTTATATCACAATCAGATCTATTTGTGATGCTGTTAGATTGTGGCTCTCACTGTAATCAGACTTAGCTGCTTTCTGGCTAAATGAACAAACAGTCTAATTGGCTCTGACGGAATAAGGGCATTTATTGAGAAAATTGCAACACCACACGTGAAGCTTTTCCTGTTTTCATGTGGTATTATTGAACTCAGCCAAACACCTCGGGGCCTTTTTACACCTTATAATTCAATCTAACTGCAATTCAGGAGTATAGAGTCTTTATTACTATAGAGTCTTTTCAAAGAACAAGAATTAAATATCATGTCACTGTGAACAAGATTAAATTAGGTAGAAAGTGTGAGTGAGGATACGTTTTGATGTAATAAAGCAAGCCCACTTTCCACTTAAGCAGTTGGAGAGAGTTTAACTTGTCAGCAGCAGAATCCGGGAGCTTGGAAAGTCAGTGGAGCAGAGCTGTGTGCGCGCACAAACACGCGTGTGCGCCGCCGCACGACAAAACAGTGGCACATGTCACCGGGCAGATATGGAAGTCGAGCTGACCGCTGATTTACCGACGTGCCGCACACCACCACGCTTCGTTTGACGCAAAAAGAAAAACCCCACAAGCGCGTATTTCACCTGCAAAAAAACAAACTGCGCGGCCTCCTCAGCCATCCACCGCCCAGGGGGGTTGCGTGGGGCTGAGTTACCAAAAACACCCACTGAAGGGTAATGAGCCACGACATTAGGGTTTTTTTTGTGGGGGGAAATTGAATTTTCAAGTCATGCTACTATTTAGATTTTTTTACGGGGATCCAGCGTGAAAGTGCGCCATTTTCCGCTCTTCGTAAAGTTATAGGGCAAAACACTACTTTTACTTCCTTTTTAGGCTGTTGCATGTGTTTTAAAATAAATTGCCTAAATGAATAAAACTTCGACTGCAACTGGCCAAAACACGGGGAAAGAAATATGCGGGATAATCGTTGTTATATGCTGGAATTTATGATTTTAATGAAAATATAAAGACGTTTTGGGTGAAGCTGTCAGTGTCCGCTGCATGAGGTCTGCCTAGCTTTTTTTTTAAACTAAAAATGTCAAATAGGAAGAAATATACGAGCAAATAGCTTTTTGGTTAAATTAATGAAGAAATGACTGTCATTGAAGCCCAATTCTGGTGCGTCCTCACTGTTTTTTTTGCGATGGAGAAACTGCTTCATGAAGGGCCCCATCGTTACACGATGTTGTTTAAACTGACGTGTTTTTTGGTCAGATGAAAAATATTTAGTCGGGATTGTGGTGTTTATTTGACGTGAATCCTTAACTTTGATCAGTAACTGATGTTCAACAGCGTGTTTGGAAGTTGGCGATAACACAAACCGTCGCTGGTGAATTGATTATTATGGAATCTGAGCTCGTGAGTAGACTGGAGTGTTTGACTTATTGTGTGAGATTGCCGTGTGACAATCAATTTGGTACGAATTTTCGTCAGGTTAAGACAGTTCACAATAATAGAAGCCTGATCACCAAATAGAAAACAGATCCCTCCAAAAATGAAGATGACATCCTCATTGGACATATTGATTATTGGAGATCCTGCACGAGGATAGCTGCGTGTTCACGCGCAGTTGATGATGAGACAAAGGTGAAGGTGGCAAAGTTGAGGTGCTGAGGCTGAGGAGAGGCACCGCGAGCTGGAGATATACTTTTCAGGGCCACGGCTCCACAGAAAGGGCCGGTGGACGAGAGAAGAGGACGCATCACTCTCTCACTTTTCCTTTTCACACTTGGAAGGGGGCAGAGCAGCAGCGTGCAGCAATGTGTGTGTGTGCGTGTATGTGTGTGTGTGCGTATGTGTGTGTGTGTGCAATTTTAAGAAATCATCCCCACCAAGTTCCCCCCTGTCAGTGCGCAGAGTCCGCTCCGCACAGGCGCAGAGCGCAGCTCGGCACCGGAGAAGCCCAAACGCAGGGAAAGCTAAAAAGAATACACCCAAACACGGCGATCTCCCCAACGGAGACCCGATCGAGAAACGGGCTTCTTCTCACCCACGTGGGAAGAAGGAAAACTCCCCGGGTTGCGGGATGGACTGAGGCGGATGAGAGCGTGAGGTAGGCAGCGGCACAGATGCGCCCGCACAGCTGAGCAGCGGCACAGGGGGATCCATGATCCTGCTCATGATCGGCTTACTTTGCCAATAAAAGCGTTTTGTCTCCTCTAGGAAGGAGAAGGGAGAAAGAAAAAGGATTTCGAATTAGAGTCAACGCACTGCGATGCTGTGCGGAGCAATTAATGGCGCCAATTAGACTTTAAAAAAAACAAACTTTACTCTCTGTGCGGATTTTATGTGGAAGATCTGCATCTTTCAGGAAAGTAGATGCATCTCAGTTCGTACTCATAGCAACCTGAAGTTTATTTTTTATTTTTAAGCCACTTTGGCTGCTTTGTGCACAGTCTTTACGATACGAAATGGTGCAGTAATTCAAATAAAATATACTAACAACAATAACGCGTTTATTGATATCCTTCTAATGGTTATTATTATTATTATTATTATTATTATTATTATTATTATTATTATTATCACCCTTATTTAAAGAAATGAATAGAAGCCTAATATTGATCACTTAGGTAACTTCGTCCATTTAGTTTACGTTTGTAAAAATCATAGATAACTTTGTTGTTGTAGACAATTGGACGTCATCAGGCTAATGGAATAAATACAGTTTATTTGTTGGTTACAATTCTCTTCTAAATACATTATACGCTGACAAAATAGGGTTTAAGACACTGCCCATTTGAATTCTGGAGTCATTTTTTGCTGCTGTCTTAAAATGACCATTACTGAACCTCTGACAAACTGCAGCCGATCAGGTCAGGATATTTTTTAGCAGCTTTTCTCTTTTGGTGATCATACAATCTGTTTGTCAGTTGGACTAAAAAAGAAACAATAGGAAGGTTAGGCCTTCCTGCAGAATGGGTCAGACACACAAAATGGCGCTGAGCTGAGTCGCATTACATCTGTCATGAACACTTAACACCCCTTATAAACACTATATGCTGATGTTTTTTGTTTGTGCTTAAGGGCATTTAACTTCCATGCCTCCTTTTCTACATGGCTCTAATTATTGTAATTCTAGAGTCCATACACAATGTAAAATATTAATTAGTGAACCACTTGTTATCATGTTTTATGACTGAAGATTCCCAAAGGATTTTTCCCACACTTCATAGTATAACATTTCGAACACAGTCTAAACTGCTGCATAGGTCCACTTTTTTGTTCTGAGGTGCACAGTATTGTTTCAAAAAGCTGATAGCTTTCAATTAAACATTTATTTCTGTTCAAACAGCAGGCACAGCCCCTTTAGAAGAACATATATTTACTGTACTTACCCATCCACTTTGAACCATAAATTGCTATAAATATAACCAAGTGAAATCAGGCTTTTATTTTCATTCAATTTTTTTAATTAGTTTTTCTTTCAGTGTGCAAGACTGGTTGTCCAGAGAAACCGAAACAACATCAGTCTGTTTAATCACACTGGGCAGTTAAACAGGATCAGTAAAAGGCCCAAAGTTCCCACTGTTGAGAAAAGGTTTTGTGGCTGTTTCTCTGTCTGCTGTTATCTTTATTGGCTTTCACAAATGTCTCCACCAGTTTACTCTGGACGTTGCCTCTCTACTTTCATGGCGAAGAGTGTGGGCCGCTCTGTGTTTACATGTCCACACTACCAGCGTGGAGGAGCAACACCAGACTTTTATAAAC